TATCTTGACAATTTCTAGATCTATACCATCAACATACATAGACATGCATCAATAACACAACAAAAAGAGACAAACACATGAACATCTATTCTAGCATACATAGACATATAGATAGAATGAAATGATCAATTGGAAGCATTAAACCACATAAATCGTTGAATAAACAAAATCTATATATATAAAAGTGTCAAGACATGAATCACAATACAAATCCCCTAAAAAATACATAAATCAAGAAATAGAAAGCATGCTTAGGGCTAACTCTAGCCGCAAGAGCATGTCTAGCCACTCATGGATGATGTCCTCCAACCCTCAAGGGCAAGCTCCATGGAAGAAATCTGCTCCTTGGTTGATGAAAAGTCTCCAATGGTGTCTCTAGCCTCCTCCTCTTCTTTTGTTTCCTCCCTAAGAGTTTTACAAGGTATGATATGATATGATGTAATATAATACAAAAAGTAATCCTTATCCTTATATAGGTAGGTCAAATGACACCCAAAATGAGCTGGGGTTATATAACAAATATTCCCCAACGATTGGATAAAGGACAACTTTTTGTGAGCTGGAAATTTAACTTTTTCACACTGGAGGAAGTTCGATCGATAGAAACCTTGGACTTGATCGATCAAACATGGCTGAGATCTATCAAACTGAAGCTGGATCGATCCCTAATGGCGGCGCCTTTTTGGATAAAAACAAATCTGAGATATTTTGAAGATATTTTTGGGAAAAGGACAAAAGTGGTTAGTAGGGTGGTACAACTGGATAAGATCAATCATTTAGATAAGGACAGGAATGTTCGATCGATCGGAGAAGGAAGTTGGATCGATCGAACTTTTGAGATCTTTAAACAGGGACAAACATGGCTCAGATCCATCTTGAAGTGCTGAGATCGACGAAAGTTGGATCGATCGAACTTTTCTTGAGGTCGATCGAAGTTGCTGAAATTCCACCATTTGTTTCATTTTGTTCTACTTTGCTCCTTTCTTTGATTCATCCCAGAATTGCTTCAATTATTCTCTTATTTGGCTGAGTTAGCTTGTTTTGGGGATAAGTACCTGAAAATGGAAATAACACGAAATCAATACAAAACGGAAAAATAAGATAGATAAATATTCTAGAGTACCTAAACTTAAGGGGTTTAAATACGCACTTTTCAGCGCTCATCAAGGATCTTGCTAAAAGCTGAGTAGCTAAGTTAGTAGAGGCACTCCTCTAAATTATGTGGGAGTCCAAATTCGAATTAGCTAGGGTTCGACTTATCCATCCTTCTCCTCCTTGCCAAATTAAAAAAATAATAATAATAACGGTATAAATACAAAAATGATTGCTAACTAGTGTTTCTAAAAGTTACATGGAAAATGTAATTGTTTTGAAGGAATAACTACATACCAAATATTTTATGGTATTCTTCAAATTTAAATATGATGGGTAGGGATTTGAATTTCTTCTTCATCATAATCAATAGTTAAGACATGTAATGAAATTTTGGGGATTGTGTTGTACTAGCTTTAGATTCTAATATATTGTTAAATGAAAGAGAAAAAATGCTAGTGGACATTTGTAAGAAAAAAATATATATATGGACAAAAGGTGAGAGTTGTTCAAGTTTCAAAGGGACAAAATGGACAGTGTGTGTTATTAGTCAAGAGAACAAAAATGATTATTAGTTATCAGATCTTCCTTATACAAATAAAAAATAAAAAAATTGCTTATAAAAATGTGTAGTTTATATGAAAATGCGTCTCTCTCTCTCTCTCTCTCTCTCTCTGTGATATCTTTTTGAATGTGACTATGAATGTGAAAGTTAGGACATTATTTTTAATCGGGATTGGTTGCTGAGAAAGTGGAGAAAAAGAAACAAAAATTTTATAATTGTTGTATTTGGATCCGTTGACTGGAATTTTTTAAAATTTTGGGTCCTAATTAAATGACTATATAGTTTGATATTGCTTGTGTTTCTATGACAAGTAAAGGAATTGTACTTATTCAAAAAATAAAAAAAGGAATTGAAAAAGAAAACTTAGCTCGTTTGCTTGCTTCAATTGTAATAAACACTATTGACATTATGATTTCTAACCTTTTTTTTTTTTTTTTTTTTTCTTTTTTTACTGCTTACACTATTGTCACGGGTCTAGAGATTTGACGCAGCGACACGGCCCGTGCGGCACCAAGGCGTTGCTTCAGCTCGCGCAAGCGCCTTGATCAGCCAGCACGACCTGCCTTCCCAAGGATATATGCTAACTAGTTTCGGCTGCGACGGCGTCGTCAGGGGAACGGTTCAAGCTACCGACCAGTTTGTATAGGAATGACAAACTCCCTCAAGTCCACGACCAGCGACAAGCTCCTCGCACTCAACCGAGTCGACCTGCCTGAACTCTGAAGAGGTACTATCTTGTGCTCCTGCACGCCCCTTCCCTGAAACCATTCCCAATTCAACTCTACTCTTTGCCAACCAGCATGCGTGTCTTTCATACTTCAAACGTCTTAGAAATCACTTCGT